CCATCATATGATGGCACTTGTGCTGGTCCACTATTCCATCTATTTTGCAAATATCTTCTGTTGCCCCAGCATTCCCCACCCCATCACACTGCCTCCCCCATGCTTCATGGTAGGTGCTATGCATTGAGATAAGTATTTTTCACCCTTTTTTTTGCTGGAGGTACAACTTACGCTTTGAACCAAATATTTCAAACTTAGATTCATCTGTCCATAAAGCCCTTTTCCAATCATCAACAGTACAGTTTTTGTACTTTTTAGCAAATTTCAGTCTCTTGACAATACTTGGAGATCGAAGTAAAGATTTTTAATGCTACACGACCAAATATTCCATTCTTGTTGAGTCTTCTTGATACTGTAAATCTGTACATTTTTCTGTCATTTGGTACATGGTTGTTTATCTCATCTTTGAGACCAGTGGCAGTCTTCCTTCTGTACTGCAGACTGCATAAACGAAGATACTTAACATCGATATCATTGAGTTTATGTGTTCTGCCTCTTCCTTTCCTATTTTAAAATTTTACCTGTCTTGGTCTCATGATCTAGGGTGTACTTGACAATGTTTGTGGAGTATTTCAAGTCTGCAGTAATTTGTCAGAGAGTTCAACCAGCATCACGTAAAACTTTTATGCGAACTCTCTGCTCTACTGACAATTCCGTACACCTTTTCAGCCGTGGCATGACAACAAAACTTAATATATAGTATTAAACACTGTTTTTATCAGGGTTTATTTGTGGAGTGCTATTAAATTGATTTATTCCAGCATATACCAGTACCATATGCTAGCTACTTGCTAGCTCTATCAAAGAATGCTCATGATTATTGAAAGGAAGTTACATGATTGAACAGTTAAAATAATTAAAACTAGTTTGGCCTTATTATACTTGAGTTTCAGAACCCTACTACAATTTTATACACAATAAGTTTCCACATATGTGAATTTGACTGAGGGTTTCAACAGAATTTTGTTTGGCTTTCCTGTATTTATAACATGGTGAACAGTGATGCATGCATAGAGGTAAAAGTCTTGAGTAATGTCCTGCAAAATTTAGTATTATGTGTTAAAATCTAAGCCCAGTTTTATTGCCAATGGTGTAAAAAAATACAGTTGAAATTAGAATTTTTTCATATAACTTACGACTAGGAATAATCCAGAAAGATTTATTATTATAAATGGGCAGTGCAACCTAATTAAGTTAGTACTGTGTAAAAAAGGATAAGTAAACATACCAGAAAGTTAGGCTACAATCTGGTCAACTGCAGTTAATCTTACAGAAAAATAATCTTTGAATAGTTGTGCAAATATAAAAAAAATTCAATTTATTTCAAAGGGTTTTTGAAAAAAATTACTACAACTAAGTACATAAAATTAAGCTTCTACTCTCAATAGTTTAAAAAAAAAGACTTAAATTATAGGCCTACAAACTTGCAATGTTATTAATGTTCAATACCAAATAAAGATATTTGTAAATTGAAAAAGGTGCAGAAAATCAGAGCTCATTACAATTTGCAAACAGATATTTTTATAACTTTATAAAGAAATGAAGATTATCCCAGAGGTATAAAACATTTCTCTGGATCTTTTTACCAAGCTAAACGGCTATGTTAAAACATGTATTATTGACAAAACTTTTAAAAACTAATAACAAAAAACATAATGCTTTAAATCCTACATTCACTTTGAGAAAAACAACAGCATAGTAGTGAATTGTTTGTTTCTTTCTGATTTTTGTATAAGCTACACAAAGGACTACTTGTGCATAACCAGCCATAATTTTCAACTTACAGACTAGAGGAAAGGTAGATAGCCAACAGCACCCACCAAACTCTGTTGGGCTACTGTTATCTGACTAATAATAGGATGTTAACATTTTCTTACACTGAAAATGTATTTCTGATATGTACTTACCTCCACTAACCCAAAGCTATTTCAATCCTGAACTGCTCTCTAAGCATTGCTAAAACTTTTTGCTAACAGCACACCAGTCATTTATACCCCATCAGTTTCACACTGTTTCAGAACGTGCTGATCATGTGACTACCCTCCACCAATCATATTGCATCCTCTATACTAGTGCAGCTAGCCCCCTCTACTATTCTAGAGCAATCCTCATTTTCAAGAATTGGCAGATACAAATCAGAAACATAAGGATATCACTGGAAAGGAAGGGTGTAAAATGGGTGAAAGGAGGTAAGTACTCATCAGAAACCATTTTCAATGTAAGGAAATGTTAACTTCCAAAATGGTCTTGCCTTCTTTCACCCAAAGCTAGAATCCCACACTGCAAAGGTGGAGGGGGTCAGTGAAGGCACGTCAATATCCAATCAAGAACATGCAGAGAAAGCACACCTGTGGGGTATAGCACTCCTTCTGGAACAGGTATGCTCTTCACCCAGTAATTAACACTGGAATAAGAAGATGGTGGAACTGAATTGGCAGGCACCAATGCATTCAGAAAAAGAGATTTACAGTCTTGAATCAGTGTTGACAAACATAGAAATTCTAGTGTGGAAGCAACAACTAGCCTGTATAAGTATGTGCCATGGGTACATCAAAGTATGTCAAGTGTGGTCCATCTATGCAAAACATCCAGGGAAAGCACCTTGGATATGTAGGATGAAGAAAAACAAAATTACAGACACGAGTGAGGGTTTTTATAACCAGCCCATTGTCAACAGACATGCCATACTTCATTCACATATGTAGCAGACCATAGTACCAAACATAGTGATGGTAAGCCATGGTAAGGTGCTAGAAATAATCATAAGTGGCTAGAGCAAAAGGACCATGAATTATATATGAATAAGCCAAGTGCAGTGCACCTGAACAAAAAACATCCAGGGGCAGCACCTTGAGATCTGTCATATCATGCCAAGCGCAGTCCACCCGAGCAAAAAGATCCAGGGAGAAGTGCTATGGACACATAATATTCAATACTTTGGACAAGTGTGGTCCACCTGGGCAAAAACATAAAGGGGAAGCACCTTGAGATACATTGTTTTATGTATCTAGTGGAAGCGCCTTGCATAAGTTTGTGAAATCAACAAGTACAGTCCACCAGGGCAGAAAACATTCTGGGAGTGCCTTGGAAATTGAATATTACTGTATAATCATTGTTCAGTAATGAGTATGACAACAAGACCCCTCTTCTCCCCGAGTGGGTACACATGATATACAAATTCCGATTTTGTTTGTTATACAAAATCCACTCAAAAGGAAACTTCTTCGGTCCACCACTCCAGCAACTGAGAACTTGAAGTGGCAAGGATTCCGTGCTTCACTAGAAGACAAGAGGGGGGATATGCATTGTGGAGTCTGGAGGAACGACAAACCAGAGACAGTGCAATGGGTGTCTGTGATTCCCTACTTTGAAAAGCAGAAAGACTACGACTGGATGAATCACAAGTCAGTAGAGATGACCAAAATTCCCCATCTGCTTTATTCATAGAGTCCATGAGTGATGTTCCTGTATATATGGAACAGTGATAAAAAAATATATATATATATATATATATATATATACATACACATACCATCAGATAAGTGGCTACTGATGTTACAGAAACACGCCATCTCAACAGTGAGCAATATAGAAGTATACAGATTTAATGCTAATATAATATTACGCATACCTGATCAGGCAACACCCAACATCAGGTGGGATTCTGAAATATGATGTATATCAACCAAATAAGATAATTAATATGTCGACTTAATGTGTGACAAATGTATTGGGAGTTGCCCACATACCAGCCTGAATAATTTCCTCCATAGAACAGTGGATCCAAGCAGCTAAAGACATAGTCAACTGATGAATTTGGTGTGAAGAAACATTACGTAGATGGTGACCTTCCATATGCCAGTCATATGAGTTGACATACCCAACCATGAGCATAATAAGGAAAAGATCATGGGAAACAGAGGAATTCCACGGAACGAGGCAGTACGAGCCACATAACATCGCAAGGATGGAACTGGATAAAGTAGTTGATCTGGTTGCAAATGGGAGTACAGGTGGGAAATGGAAGGTAACGAAACAAGAGAAAAGGCTAAACAACCTTCCTGGGAAGGAAGGCCCAATCTATAGAGAGGATAACATGTGAGGAATGATAAAAGATGCGGAAAACATTAACGGTATAAATATTGGAATGACGATGCCAGGAGGAGGAGGAATAGATTTTAAGGGAAAGATTGTACAAGGAACACATTGTAATGGGTTCAAAGGAAGAACCGGACAGGGCATGAAAGAATACATTAAGATTCCAATCCAGCAGAACAAAGGGACATGGCAGAAATTGAAGGTGTTTGACACAGCAGCCCTATAACAGTTGATATGGTCAAATCCTGATCAAACAACCAGACAGAGAACTGGGACAGATGAGTAACAGAAGGATGGAAGAGTCTACAAAATACATGAAAATAACGAACATGCAAAACTGAAATTTGACCTAAAACATAAAACAATTAGCAACACTCAAAGTACAAAACCACTATAGGATCTTAGAAGATAAAAGATATGTGAATATTGAACTTAAGTCCACTCAAAGAACTGATAAGACAAAAGACACAAAAGCAAAATCAGCTATGAAGAACATGAGAGTAAAAGGGCACAAAGTTAACAATAACAAATTTTGACTCAAATCTAATGCCCAATTACATGTGACTAGTAGTAGAGAAAAATCAATTTAAAAACTAAATAACATAAACAGTGAAAAGAAATATAAATAATGAACCAACACACACAAAAAATTGGCTGAAGTTACAATTACCTTAACAGTAACTATCGTGAAAAACTCTACATATACCAAAAATCAAACAATAACAAAGTAATAATCAATCTGTAAATGCAAATTTAACCTAAATTAACTTAGATGGTAAAAGAATGATAAAAATCTACCTTACCAACTACTGAGCAGAGAAGACATGAAAGACCTAAATTATCGTGTGCGGAAATTAGGTCAATCCACACAAGCTCACATAAACTTGCTAAACATGGGTATACCTACTGAGAGTGAGGAATACATGCTTATCACAGATCTCCTGTGAAAAAGAACAATACCTAACCCATGAGATTACATGGAGGTACAATAACAGGTGGAAAGTGCCCTAGAAAGAAATTTCCACCCATTAGTTATATCCTTCCCCACAAAAAATTGTAATGTGAAAAGAAGAAATAGTTGGCTGAATGTAAGACACGAACTCCCCACAAACAAAAGCCTGTATTTCCTCAGCAGACATCGTCGACCCTGAGACTTGTGTCAGAACTGTTGTCTACTGTAACAGGAATTTCATCATCCGCCATATTAAATATCAAATTCATATGAATGCATATGAATTTGGAAAACAGAAATATTTTTAAAACAAATGAGTAGAAATAATGAAAATATAACACAAGTTGAAACTGATATAAATTTGTGATCAAGCAAAATCAAAATTTTGTATTCACATGGAGAGTGAGTTAAAACACATGTCTATACATTAGAATGCCAACTGAGAAAATGAGGATTACTCTAGAATAGCAGAGCTAGCTGTGCTAGTATAGATGGTGCAGGTTAGTCACATGATCAGCACATTCTGAAAACTGAGGAGGTATAAAAGACTGGTGTGCTGTTAGAGAAAACTTTTAGCAATATTCTGAGGGCAGTTCAGGATTGAGATAGCTTCGGGTGAGAGCAGGTAAGAACGTTTCAGAGTTCACTTGCTCTTACAGTATATCGCAACTCCTAAATTGTGAAAACCAGGATTCACAGTCCATGGATGCTAAATATTAAACCTGGCCAAGAGAAGTTAATCTCTGAAGAGGTATATCACAAGATTTGTACTTCAGGTTTAATAAAAGTCCATGACAGTCATTTCAGAATAGCATTTTAAAATGTGAATATGGGATTTGTATAAAAATAAAATTATGGTTGAGTAACAGTTGCTGAAAGAATAGCAGAAGTAGGATTGTAGGACAATAATCTATATTCTATTCTTTAAAAATATGACATGCTTGATGTTATGAGAACAAACAAAGATAAGACATTTTTTGATCAGTAACACTTGCTGAAAGAATAGCCGAAGTAGGATTGTAGGACAATAATCTATATTTTATTCTTTAAAAATAAAAAATGCTTGATGTTATGAGAACAAACAAAGATAAAACATTTTTTGATCAGTAACACTTGCTGAAAGAATAGCTGAAGTAGGATTGTAGGACAATAATCTATATTTTATTCTTTAAAAATAAAAAATGCTTGATGTTATGAGAACAAACAAAGATAAGACATTTTTTTGAGAAACAATGATATTTCATAATTATTATTAGTTTCAGCTAGTTAATTACTACTCCAGGTATGTAGGTAATTTTTAAATTTAACATTGGCAAGTCCAAGATTAACCATTCAAGTACTGACTCTGATAGGTGAACTTCAGAACTGAATTCACTACATACTTTAATAACACATATCATAATACTGTATCTTACCCAACTTATATTCTTTCCTGAATGAATGGATGGGTGAGTGCCTGGTTGATAGAGAGTCGTTTTCCTGGATCCAACATGAGGATCTTCTCCAGCAAATCTTTTAATTGTGTAACCTTCCTGAACTGATCTGTGGGAAGCTGTTGAGCTCCAACTAATTCTGTTTGTAAATCCCGGGTTGAGTTAATGTTTGTCATCACTACTACTTTTTCCTAAAAATATAATTATAAGATATTAAAAGCTGACTTCTATCTAATTATGCAACATTTTTTTTTGTTGTATTTATTTATAGAGCATACAATTGAAGAAAACAAGACACACAAATATTATACAGGCTTTCAAGCACCTTTTGGCAAAAATTTAGGGGCTATTTTCAATTATTTTATGTATTAATTGGGAATTTTAGGAATATTTATGATTTTCTTGGGATATTTTTTTTTTCCAAATGACTACATCAGAAACTTACCTCTTTTCAAACAATTAGCAATAAATAAACTCACAGACACTGCTTATTTTATTTCTCAACTGTTTTTCCTCTGAATCCTTATCTTCAGCATTAGTTACCAAATGCATACTTCAGACTTGAAAAACACAAAAAGAACAATTTAGAATCAGTTTAATTATTAAATGTTGTTAAGTGAAATTTATAAAAACGTAAAACTTATACTGCTTCTACCCTAACAATTAAATGTTTTCTCTTTTATTAGGACTGTAAACTTACTGACTTCTAAAGGAGCTGTTTAGCTAGACATGGGTAAGGAGCAAACTAACACAAAGTTCTTGTAAAAAAGAAACTCTTATTCCAGTAAATTAACTACAACTGTATCTAGGAGCCATCCAGTCTATACTGCTACAAATTTGTGGGGACACAGCTTTGATAAACATAATAAAATGAAAAGCATAAATTATGAAATGAAATAAATGCAATAGCTAGCAATGATGCAAAATTAAAGTACTGGTCTTCTATGAAACTACAAATAACAAACTGCGTGCCTTGGGTAGAAAATAGTAAGAGTTTTTTCTTTAGGGTCTTGGAAAGTCATCCTATATTCTCTTTCTTTTGGTGCCAATTTTTGTCTCTCCTTTCATTCTACATGTTGTCTTGCTTCTTTCATTCTTGTTTTTTCTGACTAAACAAATCTACAAGTTACACCCGTTTCATCCAATTTCTTGTCTTTCAAAGCCTTTTCAAACCTTTCATTTACTTCTTAGAACAACTTCTCTGTTGATCTTAGTTTATTTTCTAATTGTTTGTCCTCTTTTCGCCATAGATTTTTCTTTAATCTCCTAGTTTTCTTTTCCTTTCTTCCTGCTTCTTTCAAGTTGCATTTGTTCTTACTTTTTCATTTGTTTTGTATTTTCACCTTCTCCAATTCCTTATACTTTCAAGACTATATTTGTATAAGTTATGTACATGTCTGCCTATTTCTGTTAAAGACTTTGTCTTGTTACAGGTATTTCTTATACTGCATTATTTACTCTTCTAACTCCATTTATGGAATTACCTGATAAAAGTGTCCTTTCCTTTGTAAGTATTTTCTTGCTTTCAGACATGCTCTTTTAATTCCAGCATTACTGTGTGCAAAGATGCTATCATAAGTTAGACCAGAATGTTGTATTTGTCAGCTACATTGGCCATTTTGCTTTGTAAAACAATGTGCCAATAATGACAAACTCTGCCTTTCTTATCTTTTTCCAACTGACATATTTTTCACTCATTTGTCATACTCCAGAAACATCTGAGGCATTTTCAGTGAAATGTTCCTGACTTTTTAGCACCATTTTCTTCTTCAAAGCTGCACTAAAAGAGGACGGCATTTCATACTCCTCAGCAGGTCAATGTCAGGAAGCAGTTTCTTCTGAAGATACTTGGTCACAATCTACAAAATTTTCGTATGTTCATGGTAGTAAGTTTTGAACTCCAGACTTCTTTTGCAACAATGATCATGTATATTTCCCAATTTCCATGACAGTTAATTGATTATCCTCTTTCACTGAGACAACACCGTTTTTCAAAAACCTGAGCATACCTGAAATTTCTGTATATATGATATAGATTAAGAATTCCTCTGATTAAACATCTTTAGAAATATTCCAGATTGCAAGCTAAGAAGAAAGTAAACTGGTGCCAATGTTGAAAGTGTTTTCAGCTCCAGCAGCCAACATGTAGGTAGGTACTGTTCATTCCTGTATATAACTTTTGGTTTTGTTGCTTTCGGCTGTCTTTGGCAAGACTGTAAGAAATATTCAAGCATAGGTTTCCAAGTATATAAAATCCATTGAAGTCCTGGTAGCTTCAACACTGCACAAGTCTAATAAACAATTCTTCATCAAACCCAAGTTCCTCAACTTCCTCCTGAAAATATTCTATTTTGCATGATGACAACTTAAAAAATTAGATCAAATAAATTTCTAATTTCTCTGCATTTCCACTATACACTTTCCGACTATTAATGAAAGGAATTGTGCACTACATGCTTGTTACAGGAAGTGATTGGCATTAAATCTGGTAAGCCTGATGATTTCATTTCCTTACTGTCTTATTAACAATAGGGCAATCTGATCCCAGGTTAAGCAGTTTACTAAGATGTATCTGGAAACTTCTTTCCAGTAAGTTGTCTATAATTCCCTTGGAAACATCTACTATCTTTGCATATCAGTGCTTTCAAGAATAGAATTATTACTTATCCTCTCTGATCTGACCAGTATCTGAGAATGAGATCATACTGCCTTGTGTACTTTAGAGTTATTAATTTCATCATAATGCAGCATAAATGCTGAAGCATTTGAAATTCTTTCACATAAAGTCTTACAAAAGTATGGTCCTAAGCCCTCTGATATAACATAAGATATCTTAGTTCTACTCATTGTAAAGTTCTATGTAACAGCATTTCCTGGAAACGTGTTTCTAAACAGATCTGCAATGCCTTCATGTGACAAGTATGAATAATTTCTGTGATCAAATTTTATCTTCCAAAGAACTTCTCTTTGCGTGATATATCATTTGGTATTTTGGTTCACAGCTGCAAAAGATGTTTGTTTGATTCCTTTTCCTCCTGACACAGATAATTAATGTCGTGTTTCACTTAAACTGGTATTCCCACTGCTGGAGATATTCAATAGGTTTTTTACAATGAAGTGTGTCAAATTTGGCTTTAGCCAAGACCTGATGTACAAGTCCTTTAGAATACACCTCTTGGTTAAATCCAGAGCAGTTACTGAGGAATTACTTGTAACAGAGATCCACCAGAAGACAGACCAATTTTGTGCAAAGTCCTAACGTTAAGTACCTGTGAATGATTTCACTGTAGCTAATTAGCAATAAACTTTGTTTTTCTGAGCAAAATTTTGTGTGAATATATTTCTACATTCAAACTGTAATTAAATCTCACATATCATCTGAAGAACAACATTTACTTCTAGATATAGTTAAATTTTTCTTCAATCTTCTCTAATTAAACTACTTTCTTGTCATGATATGTCAATAAATATATCATAAAAACATAGCTAATAATTCATATTTTAATAGTATACGATTTAAGTCCATACTTTTATAAGGCAATATTTAAAAAAAACTAGAATTTCCCCAAATGTGAGAATTGAACATTTGCTCTCTAGGTATCTCCTCTTCTCTAATTTCTTTATCACCCTTCAAAGAAGTATGAAATTTAACATAAATTACTTATTATAATATCGTCATTGGTAAGGAAAAGCATAATTTTCAAAGCATTAAATCTTATTTGGTTACAGAGCTATGAAATTGATAACCAGAACCCTCTTGTCATGCTCACCTGTTACATCCTTTCAGAAATTGCCAGTAGTTCTTTCTGAGATTCAATGCTTTAGAAGGTATAACCAATAGAAAGCCAATGTTTTCATCTATTATGTTGTTTTCTGAACAGAGAATTGTCAATTTCTATTTTAGTACAAGCTTCATTCCCACGGAAAAGATATTGACTAGCGTAGATGAATTTCTAACGGCTCTTGTCACATAGAAATCCAGAAAAATTGTGACAGTTATGGGACATTGTCTGCTTTTACACGTTATTAATTCTATGTTTTTTTGATGCAATATTTAAATAAAAAAATATTTAGTGCAGTAGTATTATTAGTATAAAAAAAACCCACCAGGTAATTACTTTTTTTCTTGTTTTTCATGTGTGTATTCTTTATTTATCATAAAAGTAACTAAAATGTAAAAATAGAAACCTTTATGTTAGTTAAAGTTCGATTAGGTTAAATAGATAATAGTAATATAATAAACTTTTTCTTGTGAGCAGATTGCAATTAGCTTGTGCACAATGTAATTTGATAGCATGATCTGAGATGCATATTTGCCAAGTGTTTTACAACTTATAATGGCCGCAGTAGTACTCAGATGCAGTTCAAAGGGCAATAAAACAAAATTTAAGCAAAAATAGATGTATACTGTTATGAGCTTAAAGCTATTTAGAATAATAAATATAGTTTCATATTACAATTTCAAGTCATTCTAAAAAGAAAAAATAGTTAATTTAGATTAATTTTTTTGGTGATTACAAGATCAGTCAAATTGACCAATCTTGTATAAAGTTATGGTAGAGAAAATAACAGATAAAATATAAAGTCATACTGAACACAAATGTTTGAAATTTATTCAAAAGGTTTTAGAGATTTTTGAGATGAAAAAAGTATTTTTAATCTTAATATGGAAATCACTTGGACTAGTATATAGAAATACTATATATATTCATGGGCAAATCTTTAGTAAAAATACTTCATTAAAAATTTTGATTTTTGGTATACAAAAGACTTTTAATGTATACTAAAAGTCTGTCAAATTTTCTGAAGATACACAAAGTGTATTAAAATTTATAATATGGAAAATATAACAAGTACAAAAGTGGTTATGAGGTTAGTTGAATCGACTGATTTTGTTATGAAAGAGTTAACCCACCTCTGTAAAATTTATACTTGTTCTGTTGTTTTAAATATACAATAAGAACACTAGACACCTTTACAATCCAATAAAAAACACAGTCCAAGACAAAGCTAGTTTTGATAGATTTAACTTTTCTATTAACTCTCTCAGCACCAGTTTGGTCAATTTAAATGACCATGTGACCTCTTTGTACTCGTTTAAAGTCTTAATAGATTTAATACTTCTAACTTTCAATACAGTTTGTATATCTTCACATAATCTGGCAGTCTTTCAGTTAATATTATAAATCTTTCACATACAAAAAATCATACTTTTTAGTGAAGTATTTGTAATAAAATAAAATAAAGATTTGTACATGAATATATTGAGTAGTTGTTTGGAATTAATTTTCATGTTAAAATTAAAAATACTTTTCCTCATCTCAAAAATCTCAAATTTCCTTTGTGTAATCCTTACTAACTACCTCCTAAACACATTTCAAATGCTTTTTTTCAGTAAAACTTTATAGTTTATCTGTTATTTTCTCTACCCTATCTCAAAATGAGATCAGTCAATTTGACCGACCTTGTAACCACAAAAAAAAGAAAAAGAATCGAAATAAACAT